TATGCCCTGACTGGGAATCGAACTGTGATCGTCTGGTTTGCAGGCCTGTGCTCAATCCACTGAGCTACACCAGCCAGGGCTAAATGTGATATCATTTTTTTTTACTTGTCAAATTTGGAACTGTTGATTGGTTTTTAATTATGCCACACAGGGTTTGTATAGAGAAGGAAAGTGGACATTCCTGACCTTGACTGAGTCTGAAGTACAAATTGGCCCAGTCCTTGTGCATGGTGACACCAGTTAATAATACCATATGATACACTTGAAAGTTGTTAAGAGAGTAGATCACAAGAAAAATTATAATTATGTGTGGCAATGGATGTTCACTAGACTTACTGCAGTGGTCATTTCACAATGTATAAATATATTGAGTCATTATGATATACACTTGAAACAAATACAATGTTATATGGAAACTGTATCTCAACTTTTTTTAAAAAGATATATTTCAAAGTAAAAAAAAGTTACCAAACAGAACTAGCATATTATTATATTCATTGAAAAATCTGGAAGAAAAGACAGAAAACTGTACTTGAACAATAATTACAATTAAAAAATAATAAAAAATAAACAAATTCAAAAAAAGAAAAATCTGGAAGAACTACAGGAATTATAAAAAGTGATTTATCTCTGGGTGGATAAAGTTACAGTAATTTCTATTTTATTTTTTCTTACATATATAATCTACTTTTTCTAAATAAACATGTGACATGTGCACTAAGAAAAAATGCAATAAAGGTTGCTTTTTTAATAATTCAGCTCCCAGGGTGATCATGTCACTATTTATAACACTAAAATGCAGAAATGACTGGGCATTTAAACAACAGGGGACAGACAGGCTTGGCGCACTGGAGTTCGCCCACGCGGTGGGACGGCACCGTGCACAGGAGACGAATGCTCCACCTGCGCTGCCAGTTAAAAGGAGAACAGCAAAGTAAGATGTGTAAACCATGCATGACAGTACGTGGACAAGGAAAAGGGGCTCTTTGCAAAACGTCAGGGGTTGTTATGACTGGGAGGTATAAATGGGCAATTTCGTTTTCCTATCTTTACTTGTCTAGAATTCCTGGTTTTTCTACACTAAATAAGGAGAAAAATAATGTTTAAGACATAGGTATTGATTAGCAAGTGAAAACATAAAATGATCTTTAGGAGTGTCTCCAAGATACAAGCAGGAAAAGCACAAGGCAGGGCAGGGTGTGGTGCTGCGCGGTCCTGCCAGTGCCTCAGTAATGAACAACTGTGTGTGTGCACGTGTGCATAGAATTTGTTCATGGCCGAAAACTGGGCAGAAAAGTTGAGGATGGAGGATGAGTAGGGTTTAACTTTTAAGCATCAGCATGTACTACTTTATAAAGTGTTTTAAGGAATTCCCTGGATAATAATGTATATAAATCTATATTACCTGGATGGTGAGATTGTAGACTCTTCATTAGAAAATTTTCACATTATTTAAAATAATAATGTATTTCAAATAATAAAAGACAAAAACCGATCACAAATAGCCAATCATCTTTAGGAGATGGCAAAAATGGTGAAAACTATATAGAAACATTAAAAAGTTATGATACAATGTGGGTGAACCAAATCAGAGAGTTTTGCCATAGAAACAACTATGTAAATCATCATGAGTTAGAAAACAATTCACAGAAATAATACTAGTTGCATTAGGGCAGTAGGGTTATAGATATATCTTCTTTTATTGCATTTCTCAACCTTACCAAAGAGCAATTCTAATACTTCTCTAATGAAACATAATGTTAACAAGAACTGGCTATAGGAAGTGGTACATTTAAGGTAAAATGTGGAGCATCATATCTGGCAAAGCTAAGGGGAAAATAAAAGAAAAAATGGGGCCGCAGTTGTAGCAGATCACCAAAGGTTGTGGGAGTTGATTGCCCAAGACCATGGACAGTGATCTGACATGGAGGGATTTAGGGCACAGGCAGTGGTGCCTTCAATGATGCCTGTCAGGTGAGCCCCTGAGCTCTGCCCTCTAGATGGGTAGATGGAGGAGGATGTGAGCAAGGTTGAGGCAGAGGGGATGTGTCTAAGGTCAAACTGTGACCCGACACACACACACACACACACACACTCCACACAACAGCTCATTCCTGTTGCCATGCCAGTGGTCTAAGAGTAATCAGAAACTCTGAAAGTCAGAGCTGAGATTTTAGGGGCCATTTTGTCTAAATCAGACACAGAAAGTATACTGGCTAAGAAGCTTATCCAAAGCTTATCCACAGTGACCTCTGGTTGGCTCTCCAGTCCCAGAGTCCCCAACACACCATCCCTCTAGCCACAGAACCCCAAGGAACTAAGACTGGGTGGTCTCCTGGGGACCCAAGCTGGACTGAGAGGCCAGGACAGCATGACCAGAATCTTTGACAAAAGAGGCTACCACTGTAACACTGTCACCTGCCTCTTTCCTGCATTGAGAAGGGGCCTTGGTGGCCACCAATGCTGGAGCACTCAGTGTGCAGCAGTCCGGGGGAGAGCAGCAAGTTGAGCCCAAGCAGGCAAGGAAGGTTGTACCGGATACCTCATTCCTCCTGACACTTTCCAGAAACTTCACCTTGGTCCATTCGGTCATGTCCTGGGAAATCAACCTATACAATGTCAACGGGCTCCCATCACTTCTGGTTTGACAGAGATTGACTGGAGGAGGCACCTGTAGCAAATTGGGAGACAGGAGGCCAGCAAGGTCTGGTTATTGATTCCTCAGCTCCCTGCCTGACAGCTCCCTGTGGATCAGTTACTTCCCTGAGGGAAAACCACAGCCCTCCCCCAAAATCTATCCTCTCTGAGGACCAATAACTACTACTTCTTCTCTCGTCCCTCCAGGCCTAGGGTTGATAACAGCTCTGCCTATCCATGTCCTTAAACTCTGCCCCACAAATGATCCTTTTTTTAGTTTTCTTCATTTTTTTAAACAAATGGTCCATTTCAAATGTACCATCTGTTCCCTGCCAGCACACTGACCCATGCAGAGTTGTTACCCAAACAGAACTCAAAAAGTCAGTATTCCGAGCTGTCATGAAGAGATGGAGGGAGCCTGCAGGCCTTCCCTGTCACCCAAACTCTCCCTTTCAACTGGCATTCAAGGCTCTTACCTTCCCTAAAGCTTTCTGCACAAGTGGGTCCATCTCTTCACTGAGGGACAGGAGGAAGGTTGCCTCTGGCTTTGGCTGGACTGGAATTTGAATTCTGGCCCCACTACTTACAAACTGGGTGGTGTTAAATTTCCAATAGGATTCCTCTGACGTTTCAATGAGATTAAGTGGGTAAAGTGCTCAACTCAAAACAATGGTTATGTCTGAGGCGAGATGTACTCATGTACTTTTTACACACTTTCGTTTGCATTGGCTTTGTTACAAGTTTAATGATGAAAACAGAAAAATGACTTTTAAACAGTAGTTAGTAGGTGCCTGGTACATAGAAAGTATATCATAAAGGCTAATCACTATCATCATCATCTCTGTCCTTTACAATGTGTCCCCGGGTCTCCCCACAACTCCAGGAAGAGTTCCATGCAACCAGCCTTGTTTGGTATTGCTCCTTGTATTGACTGACTGACTGTCAACTCCACCAAGGATGTGCCCTTTAGTTCCCTGACCCCCAAGTTCCTTCCCCAGCTCTGCCTTCACCTGGCTGTCTCTCAGCTCTGCCAACTCATCACTTAAATCTCTAGGTGCCTCAGTTGTTCAATGGCGCTTTGTGCACATCTTGTATCCTTTCACCTGTGAGTATTTTTCAGCCAAAGACATTGCAAGAGTCCTGAAGACAGCCCTGGAGGCCAGGCCATTCGTTCCGACCGGAAGCACTTTGTGGGACAAAGCTGACCCCACCAGGAATAGGCAGGGCCACCCCTCAGACAGGCACCTGGAATTCTTTGCATCAGCTGGTGAAAAGCCAGAGCTCCAGAACCCATCTTGATAACAGATCAAGGAAAACAACATACAGGGCTTGGTCATAACAACCCCATTCAAATGCCCTGTATGAAATCCTTTCATTCTGACTTCCTGACACTCTCACAGAGATCCTGTCCACGGAGTGGATGGTGCTTTCCCTGGAAGGTGGGGTGGAAAGGACTTACCCAGAGGGAGCTGTGAGCCACCAGCCACTCACACGATGTCACCTGGTCCCTTGCCATCATGAGCATAAATGCCTAATGACAACTCGGTACTGTTTCAAGCACTTTACAGATATAAATTTATTTAATCCTCAAAAGAACATAAAGATCTTATGTTGCATAAACCATCATTATCCCATTTTATGGATAAGGAGACTGAGGCCCAGAAAGAAGGAAAGTATTGATAGAGTCAAGATTAGAAACCAAACAGCCTGGCATCAGAAGCCTTCCATGTGCAGTGAAAAAAGATTGACACCAATGATCTGGACTTTGGAGTTTTTAAAGAATCATCTCTTGGCTCTTGAGACCTTGACTTAGAGGGAAAGGTGTCTTATCAACTGGGGCCCAGAGAGGTAATGAGATTCACCCAAGGTCATACGGCTAGTGAGCGGTCTGGGGCAGCTTTGCTGCCAAATAGGCACATGGCAGGCTTCCCGATCCCTGGTCAGCTCACCCCCACCCAACTGTCCCCTGACCAATGTGGGCACCGTCTGTGGTTCCTACGCCAGGGACTGGCCGAGGAGCCGCGCAGATCGCGGCCTGACGGCCTGGGCGCTGTCCGCGGTGCTGACCCACACGCCGCGCCCCTGCTCGCCAACCGGCTGGCGGGTTCCCCAGGTTTCCCTTCCAGCTCCCAGCCAAAGCCAGCTCGGGGAGTTTCGGTTGGCAGCGAGGGTCCTTAGACCCGGCTCCCCGGGCTCCTGGGGTTCCCTCTCCCCTCCCCCGACCGCGCGCCAGCAGCCTCCCTTCCCCCCCCGCCCCGCCCACGGCCCCTCCCCGCCAGTCCCAGGTCCCTCCCCTCCCCCCTTATCTTTCCCGCCCCCTCAGCTCCCCCGTACGGCTCCTTCGCCAGTTCCGGTCACGTTGCTGGGTGTTTACGCCTGGAGGCTGCCCCAGACCCCCTTCGGCGCCCCGGAGCCCCCCGGAGCCCCGGCGCCAGGGCCCCGCAGCCTTGGAGCAGCTGATGGCGCGGCAGCCGGGGCGGGCGCTGCGGAACCCCGGGCGCAGCTAGCGCGGGGAAGGAGAGCTCCTCCCCCAGCCCGGCCCGCGGACCCAGGGCTCCTCTGGCTGGTCGCTCCCTCCGGTCCTGAAGGTGAGGAGGCTGGTGGGCGTGGGGGGGTGGGCGCCGCGGTGGCCCCAGCGAGGAGCGGCGCGGCCTGAGCTTCGGCTCCCCGGGAGGGCCGGCGTGGGGCCGGGCACCGCAGCGCGCGGCAGGCAGACGGGACCCGGGGCTACTGGCAGAAGTTGTCCTCCACCGCCCAGACTCGGGCCCCTCCCGGCCCTGGCAGGGTGCGGAGAAGTCGGGGTCAAGCCACTGCCACCTCCCACTCACACATCTTTCTTTCTCCCTGCCTTTCCCTGTCCTCCCGGGTACCTCTCCTCCCCGTCCTTCGTAGTCTCCACATGCACCGCCCCCCCCCTTCCCTGGGAGTCATATTGGAGGCGAAATCAGGGCAGAACATCAAGACTGAAGAGGCTGGAAGCTCCGGTTTCCCCATACATCCCACTCCACTGCTCCTGGATCCTCTGCTTTTCTGAGCTTGGGGGTCTTGGATGTTCATTGGGGGAGGGGGGTATTGGAGGGGAAGGGCCCCGGAGTGGAAAGGACCACAAGACCCCTAGAGAATGTTGGTTCCACCACTAGCCCAGGGACCCCACCTTACACACGGTCTCAGACATTTGTCAAAAGCTGATTTCTTGTTCCCAGTGCAGATCCCCAAGAGAGCCAAGGACTGGGGATGAGGCGAATAATTATTTTTTAATACACGCACTTACTTGCCTTGGTGATTGCCAGTAACGCTCAACTCATTCCTTGTGCTCCTGTTTCACTCCAGGAATTCCGGGAGACAGAGCCCTAGCCTCAGGAAGCTTCCTGCCTAGAGCAGAAGCCACACACACACTCACACTCACACGTACACTCACACACACAGTCAGAGGTGATACTTGGTGGAATGCGTGGGGAAGAGAGTCATTTCAGCGTGGTGAAAGTCAGGGAAGCATTTCAGGAGGCAGAGATGGGGGGGCTGGAAATGACGAATGTCCACAAGAATGAAGAGAGTTTGCTGTAAGAGCAGCAAGAAGTAGAGTCCAAAGAGGAAGGATCTTCCTGCAAACGCGGACGGCTTTTACCTTGTGCGGGGCCTTAAACGCCAGTGAGTGGCGTGTGGGGCTGCAAGTTGCCAGGCACTGCCCCTTGTGTATATCGGGCCAGCTCCTTACCCCCTCTGAGCCTGTTTCCTCATCTTTGGAGTGGATAGATGTACTAATAGCCCTTTACTGTAGGGCTGTTAGGAAGGTAGATAAGTTCATCTATGTAAAATGCTAAGAACGGTACCATTTGTTACTAAAAGAATTATTACCTGTGCACCCATGTTGGAGACTGACTTTTCGAGTTCCTTCTTTTCCCTCCTGCCCCTGCCCTCAGAGGCAGGTGGTTAAGAGGAATAACAACTAGGAAAAGGAAAGAACATTTTAATCCACTTATTTATTCATTTATTACCATGGCTGTCCTATCTAACATACCTTCCTTGGCAATTAGAATGATAAAAATAAGTTTAATATTTTCCTTGAAACAAGAAGGCATGCTTAAATAATTTAAACAAAATGTGGATATTGAGCGTTCAGAACAGTGCAAGAACATTTGTTGACTGAATAATAAATATTTTCAGTCCCATGGGGAAAGAAATGTGACGAATGAAATAGAAACTGGGACAAGAGGAGCAGTCAGGGGTGAGGGGAGGCAGACATTGCAAACTCCATGAGAGCAGAAAGCAAGAGCCTTCAGCTCTGGTCCCCCTCCCAGCCACTGCGTCTGCCTGAGAGAGAGATGGGGGTGCCAGGGGCTCGGACACATTGAAAAGACTAAGAGAGGCGGGAGTAGTTAGCCACCCAAAGGAAGATTGGACTATAAAAGTGGCTTTCGAACTTTTGGTTAGCAGAAGCCTTTTCTCTAGTGAATCTGTATGCACAAGCCCATCATATAAAAGAGGAGTAAAAATAAAATAAAATAAAACAAGGCCTCGAGCCCTGCCCTTTCCCCCAAACGTTTTGGCAACATCCGAGACCCCTCTACAGAACTCTGGGACTCTGTGGAGCAAGTTTGAAAACCACTGATTGGGATGAGTCTGCAGGCCCTTCAGACCTGCGAGGGCCGCAAGTCTGCACTCTCTGTGGTCCTTCCGACCCAAAGAACTCTAGGAAGTGGCAAGGGGGAGAGAACCACAGTTTCCTACTTGCCAAGTCAGTTGTGGGCAGATGGCTGGGGAGGAAAGTGGGCAGCCGGAAGCTCCAGAGAGACAAGCAAGAGGTCAAGCCTTTTTCAGGGATCAGGCCTTAGAGAGTCAGAATTGTGCCAGCGTCAGAGTGTTCCTGCACCTGCCACCCTGTCTGCGGCTGGGAACTTAAACCCAGCAGCCCCCTCTCACCAACTTCCCCAAGGGGAAACATGTTGGGAACTTTCTTTCTTTCAATGAGTTGAGTTGAATTTGTTTGAGCCAAAAGATGACCTCTAGGGAAGCAAGACCTCAAATGCCCCTGTAACTTTCCCAGGTCTGAGGTGTGCCATACATACTTGGGATTAACTCTACAAATTGTGAACCCTGTGTTACAGACCCTTGATGACAGTTCTTTAAAAATGAATGTTTTTCATCAAGCTGGAAAATTAAAACAAAGAAGTAGGAGCACTGGGCAGGGGTGGACAGTAGAAACAGTGCAGTTGCTGAGGTAGCCAGGGCAGTGGACAGAGGACCCTTCTCAGTGTGCCGCTGGGCATCTGCAGCTGGGTAGGGGCAGAAGATGGGGCCGAGCGCTCCTACTCCTCAGCTGCCGTTACTGGCCTGGACCTTTTCCTCAGACTTGAGCTCCTGAAGCCGGGAGATTCCGGGACTGCGTTTCTATGAGAAAACCTGACATTTTTTCTGGGTCGGGTCTTCCAAAGCACACGTGACTCCCCAGCCACACACGGGAGCTCTGCTTTAACCCTGGTTCCCCCTCCCCCACTCCATCTCCCGCGCTCCCCCAAACAAACTGAACAATAATGTCTAAGAAAGAATATTTGCCAGGATCGTTTGTGACCCAAATTTCTGCCCTGAGAAGAGCAGGCTGCCTAGTTGGAAGCAAATACTCAGGTCCTTCTGGGAAGGCGCAGAAACAGCTGGCTGGCTCCGTCTGTCACTGTGGCCAGGGTCCAGCCTCCAGGGCTGTGTGGAATGGGCTTTGACTCCTCCGAAAAATTCACGTTTCAGCAGCCGGGAACAGACATTTTCTCTCTTCATCGTAGGCACCGCTGGGCCGCACACCTTCGTCCTCCAGTTGTGCACACAGCAGACATACAGATTCAACAGACACAGCACCCCCTGCACACACACGTGCACACACACGGGCTCAGGTACATGTGCAGACACAGAGGCCCATACATTTCCATGTAGACAGATGAGCACAGACAGAGCTCACCTGTCTCTCCCGAGTGATGCCCCAGTATATCTGTCTGCTCACTTGACATCTATTTCTCCTTGTCTGAGGTCTCCTGAGCACAGCAAACGTAGCATGTCTCAGTCTGGATCTTACCTTCTCTGTAAATCTGCCCCTCCACATCAGTTCGCCCCGGCTCCACAAAATCACTCACCCGTGCATTCTGCAGATATTTACAGAGTACCTCCTATTTGCCGGATTCTGTTTTCGGTACTAGGGAACAAAACAGTCCTTCATCTTGTGTTGCCAACAATCTGGCAGGGGAAACAGACAGTAAACAGAAATATAACATATGCATGTGGTGATCAAGTCCTGGAAGAAAACGCCGATTAAGGGAGTGAAGAGGGGCAGAGAGGCCTATTTAAATCAGATCATCAGAGACGGATCCTGATTACGTGACCTTTGAACAGAGTCCTGAATGAAGGGAGAGACGGGTCATGAGGGTATCTCGGCACAGGGCATTCCTGCTAGAGGGGACAGCATATACGAAGTCCCCGAGCCAAGGGTATGCTTGGCATGTTCAGGAAATAGCAAGGAGGCCACAGGGACTGGGACGGAGCCAACAGCGGGAGAACAGCAGGAGACGAGGGTAAACAGAGCTGGGGATGATGTGTAAGGTCTGGTGAGATCTTCGGGCTTGGCTCCGAGTGTGACAGGAAGCCATTGGAGGGTTTCGGTGAGGGACGGGTGACCTGGTCAGATTTACTAAAGGAACTCTGGCTGCCACACGGAAACGAGGGCCAGAGGGAAAGCAAGAAGCCAGTTAGGAGGCTACTGCAGTGGAGGGACAGCAGGGGCAGTGACTAGGGAATCACAGTGGATCTGGTGACACCTGATTGGATTTAGGATGTTGTCTGAAGATAAAGCCAGCAGGATTTGCAGATGGGTACAAAGATAACTGAAAGACGACTCCTGATCGTTTGTCCCGAGCAGCGGAGTGAAGAAGCCAATCGCAGTGCCGTCCACCCAGATGGCGAACCGCAGGCGAGAGAGCAGGTGTGCAGGAGAGATCACAGGGCACTGGGACTTACAAGTCGGAGGGGCCCACTGGACGTCCAGACATTTGTGCTGGGTAGTCAGTCCAGTGTTCGGGGAGAGTTAGCTCACGGGCAACGTATAAATAGAATTTACGACCACGGGATTGGGCGAGATCGCCTTAGGGAGTGCTTAGATAGAGAAAAGGTCCGACGTGAAAAATGAGGACGTGGGGACGGTCCGGAAAATGTATCTTCGTATTTGAGTTGCCCAAGCCGGGAAACGTAAACATCCTGGACACCCCCCTCCCCTTCATGGCCTGATTCACTGATTTTCACGTGGTCTGCATAAGAATTTTTAAAACATGCACTACCTGACTATTTAGTCAGGGGCACTGACCTCTTTTTCTTTAGATTGTCAAATAAAAAAAATGACAACAGCCAACATAACCATAGCTATCCAGTGTCAGTGAATCAAAGTTATAACTTTTTTAATTAGAGTGGTAACAAATACATTTTTGGTGTGCTGCAGAATTTTAGTAATTAGTTTGTGTGCCTTGAAATGAAAAGGTTGAAAATTACTGACCTAATCCAATCTATCCCCATGTCTTGCCAATTCTGCCCCCAGAACACACCTGGGACTTAACTTCTCTCCATCCCTCCTTCCGTGGTGTGGTCCAGGCTGCCATCATCTCTCACCTGGACTGCTGCTACATTCTCTCCAGCCTCCCGGTATCCACTTTGCTCCCTCTTAACCTGCCCTCCCCATGGCAACCTTGGTGATTCTTTTTTTTAAGATTTTATTTATTTACTTTTAGAGAGAGGGGAAGGAAGGGAGGGAGAGAGAGAAATATCAATGTGCGGTTGCCTCTCACATGCTCCCTACTGGGGATCTGGCCTGCAACCCAGGCATGTGCCCCAAATGGGAATCAAACAGGCGACATTTTGGTTCGCAGGCTGGCACTCAGTCCACTGAGCCACACCAGCCAGGGCCCACGGTGATCTTTTAAAAATGCAAATCATGTCCCTCACTGCCTAAAATCCTTTAATAACTTCCCAATTCTTTTATTATTAATCCAAAATTCTTAACATAGTTTACAAGACCCTGTGTGGTCTTTCCCTTGGTAACCTCACTTCCTACAACGTTCTCCCAATACCTTACACATCAGCCTTCATCAGCAGCTGGCAGTGCCACTGTTTCTCAAAAAGACCACGTGAAGCACTTACCACATAGGGCTTGGCACTTAGTAGGCACTCAGTAAATGTCAGCTACCGTTATTATCCTACCTCTGGGTCTTCACAAATGCTGTTCCTGTCCAGGATGCTCTTGCCAGTACTCTTCCGACTAACTGCTGCCCTTCCTTGAAGTCTGTATTACTCTTTTTCTGCTGCTGCATAACAAATTACCACAAACTAAGTAGCTTAAAGCAAGATGAATGCATTTTCTCACAGTCTCCAAAAATCAGAAGTCTGGCACTTTTTCCTGGGTCCTCTGCACAAGGCTGAAATCAAGACCAGCCGCATCTTCATCTGAAAACTTACCTAGGGAGAGATCCACTTCTAGGATCCCTTAGGTTGTTGGTAGAATTTACTTCCTTGTGGTTATAGGACTGAAGCCCCATGGTCTTGCTCACTGTTAGCCAGGCACCATCCCCACCTAAGCTAGAGCCTCTCTTGGGTCCTTGCACGCAGCTGCCTAGCACGGCAGTTTAGCTCTGCCAGGCCACCTGCAGGAGAGCTCAGTCTTCAGCTCTCTTCCTTCAGTAAGGGCCCTTTGAACTGGATAATCTCCCTTTTGATGAACTCAAAGCAACTTATTGGAGAACTTAATTACACCTGTACAATCTCTGCACCCCTGTCATAAACCTAATCACAGGAGTGAAAACGGCCACATTCCCAGTCCCACCTACACCCAAGGGGAGGGAGTAACATAGGAGGGCACCCTCACCGGGAGCTGGGAGTCCTGGGGACCCTCTTAGAATTCTGTCTGCCGTGAGGTCTCCATCTACAATCACTTCCTCCAAGAGACCTTCTCTGACCCCAGATCTAAAATAGGTCCCACTTTAGCCCTGGCCGGTGTGGCTTAGTTAGTTGAGCGTTGTCTGGCAGGGTCGTCAGTTCAATTCCGGGTCAGGGCACCTGCCTGGGTTGTGAGTCTGGCTCCTGGTTGGGGTGTGTAAGGAGGGCTGCCAATCGGTGTTTCTCTCCCTCTCTTTTTTTCCTCCCTTCTCCTCTCTCTAAAATAAAAAATAAATCAAAAAATTAAAATAAAATAGGTCCACTTTGTATTCTTCCATATTATACTGTAGGTTTCTTTCGTGGCACCTACCGCAAATTGTAATCGTAAACTTACTTGTACTATTAATTGTGAGATGCATTTTTTGTTTGTTTGATTCTCTCCCCTTAGCCCTGTGAGCTCCATGAGAATGAGGGTTTTGTTTTGTTCATCAGTCTTTCCCGTACCCAGCAGAGAGTTGGCAACAGTAACTCATTGAGTGAGTGAATGGTGAGGAGAGGAGCAAATCAAGACATGGATTAACCTACTCACGTATTTAATGGAAACGAGAAGGGACGTAGGACTGGTTGAGCCAGGTCTTGGGATAAGCGCTCCACTCTCTTTAATCTTATTTAATCCTGACTGTTGCTATTAATAACCCCATTTTACAGAGAAGGGGAAAAGGCTCAGAGAGGTTAACTTTCTTGCCCAAAGTCACACAGTAGGTAACTGGAAGTCCCAGGATTCAAACCCAAGATTGTCCTCAGTGTAAATATTAGGAACCTTCTTTGGATTCAGAAGAGTTGGTTGGTGAATTGAATCTGTTGCCACTCATAACCACGTGAACTGGCACAAGTCACTTCAGTTCTGAGTCTAAGTTTGTGAAATGGGGGTGGTCATACCTACTGAAGAATGATTGGCAGAAGTAAGGTAATGTGTATAAAGTTGTTTAAACGTAGCAGATGGTCTGTAAATGTAGCAATTCTTACCAACCAAAGGGCCACCCTCTGCTGAAAAGAAAGGCCCGGTTGGTCGTCCCCGGGGGGTCAGGAGGACATGAGGGAAGGGAGCCCAGAAAGAGGAGCCTATGACCAAGGGTCTCAGGTGGACCTGCTTGTTGTAACCCCACAAACAAAAGTCTGGGTTTGCAGAGACTTACATGGAAGCCAGTCTGGATGGGGACCATTTACTGAATGGAGCCATCTGTCAACTGGCCTCCCTCTCCAAAGCCCAGGGCATTCCTGGGACAGGTGGGGGCAGGTCCTTCAAAAGCTTAAGGAGTCCCTGGCAGGGAAGGCATGAGCTCTGGGTCCTGGGCTCCAGGGGTCTGGGCCTTCACTGCCCTCTGTCTGCTTTTCCAGGACACTCATCACCACAGGAGAGACTCATGGGAAAGGGGTGGAGCCAGAAGAGGGAGAGCTGAAAGGCCAGGCCATCATCAGAATCCAGGGGTACAAATATCCCCTCCCATCAGTGTCTTAAGTTCCACCTTGGGTACACTGCATGGGTCTCCTTAACACCCTCCCCTCTACCACTGCCTCAGCCCACAAAGTCAGTGTTAGTAAAACGTTCTCAGATCTTCCTCCCCTGTGACCTGGGAGAGCCCAGAGCTCTGGCTGGAGGTTCACTCAGAAATGGAGTTGAACTGGGACAGGGTGTGCTCAGAACCGTGCTGCTGCCCTGCCGTGTGATGGCACCCTGAGCTGGCATGCTTGCGGGATGGCGGAGCTGGAAGACACCTCGGGGTGCTTCTACTGAACGACTCAATTTGGCCATGGGTAAACCAGGAGCCCAGAGAGAGAGATGGCTTGCCCAAAGTCACACAGCTGGTTGAGGTGCAGGCTAGAACCCATCTCTGCTTCTCTTTACTGGCTTTGCTGCTCCACTGGTTTTCCTCTCTGAGAAGCAGAAGAAACCATGGGACAGGGGAGTGAAGCCATGTCCCTCTGGGCCTCTTGTTCTTTGTCTGTTAAATGGGCATAACTATGCGTCCCTGCTAACACACCCACTTGTTCATGAGTCTTTGGTGAGTAAATACAGGGGAAATGACCACAGTGGCAGAACTGTCTACCTGGCAGCAACAGGCCCCCAGATTGGAGGAGTCTGTGAGGAATCTGAGGGTGGGCAGGGCACATGGGCCCAGAAGATGTGGGTTCACCTTGTCATCCTCCCCAGGTGGGGCCCAGGCCTGGGTTGCCATGGATACCGTGTCCCTAGAGCACCAGATCCAGAGCGTGCAACGCCACATCAGCTTCCTGAAAAAAGAGCAGATGGCCCTGCTGCGAGACCTGCACCTGGAAATCCTGAGGCTGCAGAAACGCTGCTCAGGTGAGGCCAGGAAGGGTGACGGGTGGTTGGGGGCAGGGGCGGCAGGGGCGGCTGTCATCCCCACAGTCATGGTCTCCGATGGGGGGTCCACCAGGAGCCTCTCAAGCCTCACAACATTCCTGCCTGGTGGGTGTTCATCACCCATTTTTCTGAGTGAGGAAACAGAGTCTCGGGAGGTGAGAGATGAGTTTCAGGGAAAAGGGTTCTGGTTCAGTAGCAGAGGGAAACCTGGGAACCATTCCTGGGAATTTCCTGTCCCTTTGTAATCAATGTTCATCAAGTGCCTCCCGGCCCTAAGAAGCCTCCATCTAGGTGGGGAGACACACACCCAGGGAGAATATTAAGATATATGGGAAATAAACAGGGCTGGCGGGAGTTCACAGGCAGGATCATGTCCAGCTCCAGGTGCAGGTGATGAAGAGGGGGACCAGGCTCCTCGGAGGGGGGCAGCATTTCCACTCCCTTCAGGCCGAGTAAGATTGAGACATGGCGAGGTATTAGGGAGGACTGGGGGCAGAGAAAGCATTCCAAATGAAAGGAACAGCACGGCAGAGTCCTTAGGAAGGAAACCAAAAGTTTAGGAAAAGTTGAATTGGATGGATAAAGGACACTGGTGAGAAATACAGCTGGAACCAGATCATGGAAGATCTTAACAAGTGCCAAGACAGCTAAGAAGTTTGGCCTGTCCCCTTGGGTGGTAGGAAGCCACAGGAGGTTTTTGAGCAGCGTCATGCTGCTTTAGGAGACTCAGCCTGGCAGTTAAATGGAAGGTGAGTTGGTGGGAGATGGAGGCAGGGAGAGCGTAGCGGGGCTGGTGAATGGTGCAGAGGAGAGACGAAGGGGCGTGGAAAGAGGAGAACCAGTGGGAAACAGGTGGAAGGAAAGGACTCAGCAACCAGCTGAATCTGGGAGCAGGACAAAAGCAACTGAGGACAAAGCTAAATCCTCAGTTGCCTAGCCCTCTCGGAGGCCTGGCCCTGGCCCAAAGGCTCACCCAGGCCTAGTCTCCCAGAGCAGGCTTCAGGCCAGCAACTCACAGTGTGTCTCAGCTAGAACAGCCCAATCTCCTCATCGTGAAAGTAGGTAAATTGAGGCCCAGAGAGAAAGAGTCACACAATATGTTAACAGCAGAGTTAAGATTAGAACCCAGATCCCCAGACTTCTGGTCCTGCGTGCCTCGGCAGTTTTCTACACATTCTCTCCCCAAGATGGTCAGATTCTATCGCCCTTCCAACCTCTCCTCGTGGGAGGCTTTCCGTTCTCCAGAGGGAAACTGAGGCCCAGAATATTTGAGCGACCTGCCTGGCTTCTCACTTTGGCATGAAAATCCAGCTGTCCTGACTCTTAGCCCCCACAGACCCCTCCCACTCCACGTGCAGGTTCAGCTGCCCCATGCCGAGGCCAGGCTCCCCGCAACCTCCCCGCAGCCTGCATGGCAGCAGAGCCAGCCCCATGCCAACTCACCCCTGCCTGGTGCCACTTTTTTACTGCAGTAACATTAAAGGAAAATTGAGATGAGCCAACCCTAAGAGGCTGTAGCTCTTCCTCTAATTTCTTTTCATTTTTCCTTGATTTCAAAGACCTGGGTCCTTTCACTCAGGACACAGGCAAGGGTCCCAAGAAAGTATAATAGGAACAGAGGGCCCTCAGGCCCCATCCTCCTCCTCAGATGGGTGTGGGCCTGCAGTCTCTAGTTATTGATTAAGGAGTTAAAAATAACTCTGGCTGGTGTGGCTCAGCAGATTGAGTGCTGGCCTGTAAACACAAAGGTCGCCGGTTTGGTTCCCAGTCAGGGCACATCCCTGGGTTCCAGGCCAGGTCCCCAGATGGGGGCAAATGGGAGTGTGCAAGGGGCAACCGATCAATGTATCTCTCACACATCAATGTTACTCTCCTTCTCTTTCTCCCTTCCTTCCCTCTGAAAATAGAAAGTAAAATTTAAAAAAGAAATAACTCTGGGCTGGCCTAGGGCAGCCACTCTTGGGCCCTAAATGACTAAACACGGCCCCTCCCTGCGAGGGGTGGGGGAGTGAGAAGACAGCCAGAACAAAAGAGATTTTTAAAAAGACAGAGGCAGAGAGAGATGCGAGAGGGCTCAGGAGGCTAGGAACCGGACGGGGGGAGGGGAGGAGCCAGTGTAGTAACCAAGGGGCAGGGTGCTGGGAGGGCCTGTGGGAAGGCTGTGAAGATTCAGAACGAAGGGCTCGGAGGTGCATGAGCGTGTTCTGGGTGCCAGGGCAGCTGGATGACAACAAGAACTACCCCCGTGCGTTCAGCACCGACTCAGGCCTGGGCCGAACCCTCCGTTTGTTTCTCTCGTTTAATCCCAGCAACAGCCCTGTGTGAGGCAGGAGCAGTTCTGTTCCCATTTTGCAGAGGAGAAAACTGAGGCTCAGCGAGGTGCTGGCCCAAGGTCACAGGGCATCTGACCTCACAGAATGCTCTTATAAACTGAAGGGACTCTGGCCAGAAGATGAGCAGGGAGCTTTGATGTGTGGGAGAGGGATGTCCAGCTGAGATTCATCTCCCCTCCCCCAGCTCCCATGATTAAGGGCCAGGAGCAACCAGCCCACTGGGAGTTAATGGCAGAGCCAAAGTCCCTGGGCTTTGTCCCTGAACCTGTTCCACATTCCCTGGAGCTACAGTGCAGGGCCTTGGAGGAGGGACTAACTTGGTCCCAGGAAGCCCTGCGGGCAGAGGCATCAGTGTCCTCCAGGGACCCTAGGAAGGAGGTTCAGGCTGCGGTCACAGCAAAAGCCCTGGGTACCCTACCTCTTTGTCTCCTAGCAACAGCTGGCCTCCCCAGGGAAGGCACCCCAGCAAAGACCTTGGTCTCCTGAAGAGCTGGGTGAGGGCAGAGAGGAGGGGCTGGCAGAGGGCCCGCAGGCTGTCTCTGCAGGTGCTGGCTGCAGGGGCCGTCCCTGGGATGTGTTACCTTCTCCCACCCCACGTTCACACTTTCTCCCTCTGGGCACCCGACTGAGCTCCTGCAGGTACACAGGGGTGCTCCTGAGTGGGTGCTGCCCTCACCCAGCTAGCTGTGGCTCCCTAGCTTCACTGTGCCCCTTTCCCAGCTACTGGGGGAGTTGGGGGAATGGGGGAGTGAGCAAATTCAGCTGGCTGAGGGATAAGGCTTTTTGGCCTGTAAGGAATGGGGCTGAGAAGACAGGCAGGCAGAGAGGTGTGGAGTGGCTGCCAGGCCCAGGAGGAAACCGCTCAGGCACCAGCACCCTTGGCAGGTTCCTTGGCTGCCCTGGGCGCCCAGTGCCAACCCACACACATGGTGCCAAGAGCACTGCAGGCTTTTCATCACCAGGTGGCGCTGTCGTGGTGGAGCTTGGAGAACCCTGCCCCCAGCTGGGAAAGGGGCAGGGCTGGTGTTCAAAAAATAACATTGGCTCAGCAGTAGGGGGTGTGAAAACAGTGGAACACATGTGTCCTGTTGGTACATAGCTTCTACCTTGAGCCCCCTCCAGTGACCCCGCACATCCCAGGAGACTCCAGCCTTCCCGGATCTGCCAACTGAACACTAAAGCATCTGTGCCCTGTGCAGTAGGGGGTCCTTCAGACCAACTCGCATCAGTTGGCATGTTAAACATTTGCGCATCACCCCCGAGAAGGAGTGATGCTCACCTAGCCCCCGACACAAGCAGGCTCCTCGATTCCTCCAGGGTCGAACTAACCCCCAAATCTGGGCCACAAAGCTTGCACTGGAAAGACCTCTGGGCTCAGAATCAGGCAGGTCAGGTTCCGGCTGTGCCTTGGCACCTTTCTTCATCTCTTCCCCTCACTGGGCTCTGGTAAAGTGGGTAAGGGGGCAGATCTCGATGCTTTCTAAGGGTCCTTATTGCCACTTTTCCTGAGCCATGATTCCCCAGTGTGCATGTGTGGCACATACAGGGCCCAGCACAAATAACATCCCTTTTTCATTACAAAATCATTTATTGCAAAATCATAAGCATGTAATTCTGTAACATAACACTGTCACACTTGAGCACACCATGTGACATTTTAGGTGAAATATTCAAATTAAAACTATAAATTATTACACCCATATTATTACCCCACCAACGCTCTCAAGCGGGCTCCTGCCAGACCCTGTGTCTGTGTCACACACACACAGACACACACACCTGCCTTTTCTCTCCCCCCAGAACTGACCCACGACCTGGAGATGCGAGAGGCCCAGTCTCACCAGCAAGGTAAGAGGAGGGTGACTGATGGGGAAGTGTCATGGGGGCCCAATGGGTCACCTTTCCACACCACTTAGTAGGACCAAGCTTTCTCTGTCCCCAGTCCAGACTTGGGGACAGCCACTCCTCAGCGTGTTGAGCACAGCGTAGGTAGGATGTAGCCCCACCTGCCCATTTTGCTGCATGACCTCATACAGTGAGCAGCCTGCACCAGCCGCACAGTGCCCTGCATCCGTGCTCCTGGCAACAGGAGGAGAATGAAAGCCCAGAGGAGAAGGTGTCCAGGAGGCCCACTCGCCCAGAGTCGTTCCTCACCCACCTCGCCAGTCTCTCCCACCCTTGCACAAGTGATTCCCGTGACTGGTGTCCCCATCCTCCAGGATGCTGAGTGTCAAGACGCAACACAATGACAATATGAGGTCCTTGACTTCAAGGAGCTGAGCCTAGAGGAGAAAAGAGGCACGTGCACACTAGCAACTCCTTCACCTTACAAAAGCATGGGTTCCAGCGGTGGAACAGTGCCACCAAAAGATTTTTTACACAAATTATTGCTTCACCCATAAAATGGCAGGTGGGGTGGGGAGGTGATAGTGGCTACACAGTTTCAATTTTGTGAGATAAAGTGCTAGAGATCCGTTGTACAACCTGTGAGTATACGTAATGCTGCTGAACTGTGCACTTAAAAATTGATAGGTTAAGAAAAACTGATAGGATGGTAAATTTTGTTGTTTTTACCAGAAATAAAACTTTTTTAAATAAAAAGGGTTGCATTGTTGAGAGTTTAATCACCAGATTATACAATCTCTAAACATCAGAACTTCGAGGCACCCATTGTCTCAAAGTGCAAGACACATTACCAGACATGGGAGGGACTCTGTAAATGCTTCACGAAATGAACCACGGAAATGGTGTTTCTTAGGAGAGATTTAAGGATGGACTTCCTGCCACCCTGATATGCTGTTTATAGTTAAAGAGCTATACAGATCAAGAGTTAGGGGTGAGAGAGCTAGAAATTTAAGGTAAAAATGTTAGGAGCTCACAAATGGGTGTGGGGGGTGTGTATGAAGATCTAAACACTTAACAACTTGAAGGAATTCTGCTCACTTCTTCAAGCGGCAACTCTGGGCCACCTTTTACCCACCTTTTGTCACCTTTCAGCCACCTATGTCCCTCCACTCACTCGTGTCAGTCTCGGATGCTGTTCCTGCTGAAATGGAGCTAAGAATCCAGAATCAACTCTAGGGGTCCATCAGGATCACCCGGGAAGGTTTAACAAGTGCCACTTTCCATGTTCAGTCCCAGAGACTCTGATTCAACCCGTCCTTGGTAGGGCATGAGGACACTTTTTTAAAGCTCCCTGGATGGTTCCAGTGTGTCTCCTGGGTTCTGAAACCCAGTGCTGTGGGCAAAGGCAAACAAGTAGAAAAGTACAAAATGCAGTGACCTCTGTGTGAGACAAGGTTCCGGCACACTCACTCTCCTTCCCTGCCCACACTCCCAGTTCTTCCCTGCCCTTGCCCTTGCATGTCTCTCCCGCCACAGGGCTTTGCACAACTTGCTGCCTCCATCCCAAGCACTGTCCTCTCCCCTCTTCACTACTTCTGTTCATCCTTCAGAGACTAGCCCAAGTCACTCTTCTGCCGGGAAGCCTTCTCTGATTGGACCACATTCTCCTTTAGCCATGGGATTGGCACATGTCACATGTCACATACGAATCTCGCCTGCATTTGTAATCATGCCCTATCCTTTTCCCACTGTGCCTGCTGTAAGCTTTGTGAAGAATATTTTCTTGTCCACCATAGCCCCAGGGCCTAACACAGTGCACAAGGTAATGTCTCAAGAAATATTTGTGGGGTAAATAAAATGGTCAGGGAGAGTTCCAGGGGTGTCCAACCTTTTGGCCTTTCTGCACCACGCTGAAAGAAGAGTTGTTGTCTTGGGCCACGCATTAAATATGTTGCAACACAGGTTATTACCAAAAAAAAAAACCTCAATGCTTTAAGTAAATTTACGATTTTGTGTTGGGCCACATTCACAGCCATTCTGGGCTGCCGGTTGGGCACCCCTGAAATCCCAAGAATTGGAGGGGAGGGCCAGCAAAGAGTAGGATAGATACAAAGGGCCTGAGGAGGAAAAAGGCTGATGTACCCCTGGGGAGTGACAGAGAGCTAGGGAGTCCCAAGGCTTTGTTGGGAGGATGGGTGAACTGTCTTCACCATCGCCTCTCTTTATCTCCCCTTTCCAGAGGCGGCGTCGCGGGAGCTAGAGAGCAGGTGCCGGGAGCTGGAGTCGCAGCTGGCAGAGCGGGCGGCGGCCAACTCCGAGCTGCGGCGGGAGGTGGCGCAACGCGAGGCGCTGGTTTCGGCGCTGCGCTGCAGCCTGCGCACGGAAGAGCGCCGCTTCCTGGAGGAGCTGCGTCGGCGCAGCCACCGCGCCACCGTGCTGGGCACAGAGCTGCAGAAGCACACCGAGGCGGCCGCCTACCTCTCCTGCCAGCTGCACGCCGCACGCCAGAGACTGCAGACACCGCGCCCGGGCCCCAGCGCAGCAGCTGAACCCCGACCCCGCCGGCGCGCCCAACGGGCTCGCCGCGCGCCCGCTACGGAGGCCGCCGCCAAGGGCCCCTCCGGCCGGGACTGGGCTTCCTGGGACCACGCGGCCTGCACCTTGGACGACACCGATCCTATGCCCGACCCCGCGCTCTTCCTCTACGCCCGGAGGCCCCCGCGGCCCAGCGGCCGCAGCCCGCGCCAGCCGCCACCTCAGGAGCCCCCGGACCAAGCTGACCCACCGCCTGCGCCCAGCTCGCCCAGTGCGCCCGGGGCCCCGGAGTAGGGGCGGCGCTGGCGGGGCGGTGGGGAGTGGGAGAGGTCGGACAGGCTAGGGATGTAGCCCGGTCCTTGCAGACAGGGCCTGGGGGGCCGAGGGAGCCGGTCCCTCCTCCAGGCAGGGGGCCGCGGCAGCCCCGGCTCCTCCATCCCTTCCAGCCGCCCCCAGCCTTTTGTATTTCCCAACGTTTCCGAAGCTTCGAGCTCTCCCCTTACGCGAAGGAGCTCCAGGAGTGCACCTTTTGGGTAGAGGACTCGCAATACTGATCCCCACCCTGCCACTGGGAGGGGAGGGGCGGGGTTCACGCCCTATCCCGGGAAAATTGACAATCGTTCGGCGGGAAGGGGGAGGCTGGTCTGGCCTAAGGAAAGGAACCGGAGTGGCACTTAGCACCCCTAGGCCTTCCAGCTGTACCCCTCCCCGTCCCCAGCCCCACCCCAGTCCCCTGCGGCCTCCCAAATCCCTGCATCGCTGCCCTTCCCTCCAAGCCTTCCTCCTAGGAGAGGCTCGGGTTCGGGGGCTAGAGGCTGGACCTTTCTCCTCGGAGCCGTTTCTCCTTCCCTTACCCCGCTAATAAGATCCTTACAGGTGAGCACCTAACACTTTAGAAGACACCTCCTCCCAGAGCCTCTGGTGGGAAAAGTATAGCCTGATGGAAGTTTGAACTTCTGTAAGGTAGCGCCACAGACCCTTAGTACTGCGAGTGGGTTTGGTGGCCGAGCCTAGTCTAGAGCTGTCTCCAGTGCAGTTCCCCCACAGGATACCAACTGAGGGATTTAGACTGGGAGCTGTGCTGGGGAAATGTAGGACACTGAGGCCTACCGAGGGGCAGAAACTGCTTTCAGGAGGTAGCTGGGAGTCGGAAGGCGCCCTGGGAGTTTTCCTAGTCCTGTGTTTTGGTGTTAGTTTCACCCAGCTTCGTCATTAGCTGGATGCACCCAGAGGCTGGAGAAAGGGCCTGGCTTCCTGGAAGTGACCATTAATAAGAGTTTGAGTTTGCTGGGGAGGAAGTCCCCAGCCTGGCCCCCTGCAGGGATGTCCCAGTGCTGTCAGACCTGACAGTGCTGGGGTGCCCTTTTGTCTAGGTTGGGGAGTGGCTAAAGGGAAAGTGGAATGTCCCACCTGCTAGCTGCCTTTCTACCCTGCTCCACTGTTATGACCAAAGGCAGTTTCCAGTTCAGCTCTGCCCTTACCCCAAGTCCAGCCCAGAAAGAAGGACAAACCCCACCCCCACGCCATCCTTCTTATGTTGGTCCTGCAGGTCCTGCATTGTGTCCTAAGTGCCTGTGAGGTCTTCCAGGGACGGCAGAGGGCAGGTGTGGGGCAGGGAGGGGTCTCTTTACCTCACTCGCAAACACCCCATCCTGGCAGGCCCTGACCCCGGCTGAAGCTGAGCATTCTCTGTCACCCAGAGATCCACGTGGGGAGCAGAGCCAGTCTCTAGGTGAGATAAGCCCTTCTCCCGTCACAGCCCCCATGAAGAAGAGAGGGAATCCCCAATCATACCCTCTTTCACTCTGTATATTAGAGGGAGTGGGAAATCTGCCAGAAGCAAAGCCCAGGCACATACTCCAGCCCACGCACACACAGTGCCCGCCCCAGCCTGCCACACTCAGGGCTGCTGAGACCATTGAGCAATAACCAGCCTGGTCCAAGTGTCCAGCCACTGGGGTGCAGAGGCCAAGGTGTTGGCACCCTTGGGACAGACAGTGCTCTGGTCTAACTTGAGCCACAGTAGTGGCCTCGGGTCCTTGCTCTGCCCGCCCCTCTGCCTCCCCTCCAGGGTGTGTAACTCAGTGTACCCTGTCACCCCCTTTCACAGCGCGACTGGGTGGGGAGGCCTCTCTGTCTCAGCTACACTCCCTTGAAGGGCCCAGAGGACTGTGGAAAGGAGGGAGAGGGTGCCTTTCTGGAGGTGCCCACCCAAACCCTCATCTTTACAACCACACTTTTGGGGTGAACGGGGTGACTTTGTTATGTTGATTCTTCTACAGAGATGAAGTGCTTTAGCCACCCACCCCCTAAAAGCCATAGCGACCCCCAACTGGCCTCCCCCAGCTGTAAAGCAATAGCCTTCTTCCCTTCCCTCCTGAATCCAAGGTGTCCATTTGGGGAATCCTACCAAACCCCCACCCCAGGGATCCTCAGGTGACCCCGACCGGCACCTCCCAACTCCTGTCCCTCTTCCAACAGCCAGAGGTAATGACAGGTCATTGTCTGTGGGGTGCTTGGAGATCCCCCAGATGAAAGGCTCTACGTGCTGGGGCGGCTGACTCAACTCTCTGCCTGGGAAAGGAAATAAGACAACCAGCCCTTCCCACTCCACTCAGCAAGCTGAGGCAGATACAGGGTTCAATTTTAACAGACATCCCCTTTTCCCATCCCCCTCCTGGACTAGACACTCCCCTCCAGCCCTCTGCCCTGCTCCAGGTTTGGAACAGAACCCTCAGGGAGGGGAATGGGACTGGAGACAGTGGCCTGTCCTCAGCTTCTGCCCTCCCCCTCACCCCCCATCCCCTCCCCTAGCCTGGGGGACCCACCCTGCCAAAGGAAGACCCGCCCCAAAGTAAGCGTGGAATGCTTAGGTGACAAGAAGGGGAAGGACTGTTTCTTCGTCCCTCTGCTCTGCTGCACAGGTCCCCTGGGGGAGGGGTGTGTTGACATGATCAGGGACCCTAGTTGGAGCTCCAGCCACACCCTGAGTGTGGACAGACCCAGGAAGGAGAGTTGCAAGTAGGGACTAGTGGGCAATACAGTGTGAGGGTCTGTGCCCCTGCCTCCCCATACCCCACCTGCAGTGGCCTGCAGTTTGGGAAACCATTCCAGGGTTGTTGGGGGGTAGTCCTTCCCCATGTAAGCTGCAGAATGGAGGCCGCCTTTGTGAAGAGGAAGGAGGCCTAGGGGTGTGGAGCACCTCTTCAGTGCAGAGAGAGCCGGGGATCTCTAAGCACTTGCTCTTGGAGGTGCCAGCCTTGAATGGGAGACGTGCAGGGCAGAGTGGAGGCATCCTGCTCCAAATTCTCTGTTGGCTGTGCTTTTTAATCCAATGCTTTTCAGAGTGTATTCACTCACCCACAAAAATAGAGCCCTGTGCTTTAGGGGTGATTGTCATATGCCTTATTCTTAATAAAATATCTGAAAAATACACAAGGCAGGCCTGTTTGTGGGCACCCTGCACCCCTATTGCCACAGGTGTCCGGGAGGATATGGAAGATCTAGTGGTTTGGGGGTCAGCCAGTGGGTTGGGTGAGATGGGAAGCCAAGACTCTATAATAAAGTACACTCAGTGGATATTTCTCTCGTAGGGAGGAAGGCACTCATCTAAAATGTCCCTATGCTCGGGCCAGTCCTGTCCCTCTCTCCACGCATGAACAAAGGAGACCTTACGTCAGAAGCTCCTGGCCAGGGTTGGGAAGGAGCAACTGGAAGTGCTCCGTACTTGGGATTGACCACTGTCCTGGCCCGGAAGGAATCCTTGTATTCTGGCATCTTTGGCCGTGATGGTCCCCCTTCCCTGACACCCACCCCCATCTGATCCAGCTGCAAGAAGCCCAGCACCCCACAAGGAGCCCTGTTCTTATCCTCCACTAAGGCAGTTATCCCGGGACTGCAGCTGGACAGCTCGGCACACCCAGCACCCATGAGAACTCCAGCCTGGTCACCTCAGTGTCGGTCTGTGTTGTGCATGGCTCTAGGGCTGAGGTTTGTAACCACTGTGCCTCGAGAATTTTGAAAACATGCACTACCTGACTATTTAGTCAGGGGCACTGACCTCTTTTTCCTTAGTTTATCAAATTAAAAAATGGTGACAGCCCAAACAACAATAGCTGTCCAATGTGAATTAATCAAAATTATACCTATTTTTTAGAAGGTTTTATTTATTTATTTTTAGAGAGGAGAAGGGAGGGAGACAGAGGGAGAGAAATATCAATGTGTGGTTGCCTCTTGCACATCCCGTATTGGAGACCTGGCCCACAACCCAGGCATGTGCCCTGAGTGGGAATCAAACTGGTGACCCTCTAGTTCTCTGGTGGGCACTCAATCCACTGAGCCACACCAGCCAGGGTAAAATTATACCCCTTTTTTTTGTCAGATCAGCAAAAATATATGTATATTTGGTGTGCCACAGAGTTTTAGAAATTAGTTTATGTGTGCTATGAGATGAAAAAGGTTGAAAGTCACTGCTCCAGGAGAAAAGGCAGCAGCTCTGAGGCTGCAGGGGACATACTACTTTTGCCTGTAACCCTTCTTCTGATAACAGGACCCATTGCTTCATTTTGGGCAACTTCCCTTCTCCCATCTCAGGCCATGTGTTGAGGGGCTTGACCCCACATGTAACTGAAGTCAGGCAGATCACACTGATGGGATTGACTCATGACTCAGTCTCAGCCAATTAGAGTTGATCTCAAAACTTTTACTGGACCCATTCATTCAACACACCAAGGTAGGACCCAGCAGGGAACAAAACAGAACTATTGAGAAGGCCAAACTCTTGGACAGCAGAAGTGTCATAATATCAGCCTGGAGGTCTTGCAGGCTATTTGCCAGCAGAAAACATAGGACTTCCTGAGTATAAAACTTCACAAAAGAAGCAGAATCAGTTGAGATGGAGACATTTCCTAGAATTAAGCCACCTGGATCCAGCTATGCCTGCAGCCCATATACCCTTGCCCTTTTCAGTTATATAGACCAATAAGTCCCCTCCCCCACTTGTATTGAAATGGTCAACATTAACTTGTGGGTTTTTCCTGCTTTTCGTTTTAAACGACTTTAGAATTAGGGGAAAATTGCAATAATAATATAGAGTTCTTATATATCTCTCACCCAACTTTCTCTTAGTGTTAACATCTCAGTTTATCATAGTATAATTATCAAAACCAAGATGTTAACATTGGTACATGACAACTAAACCGCAGACCTTATTTGAATTTCATCAGTTTCTGCACTAGGGTCCTCTTTCTGTTCCAGTATCATACCCAGGATCCTGGATCCTGGGTAATTTACTTAGTAATTTGCTCTTGATCTCCTCACTCTGTGACACACTTTTTAAAGCCATTTTAAGTTGAGTTTTAGTACCTTGCCAACCTCAAGAGTCCTGTTGATGTCCAAGAACAATCAGTGGAAGAAAAACAAGAGGACACCAACCATAAAATCCATCAAATAAAATATTCATGGAGTTCTGGGGAGGGAGTGACCACTTCCAGCTACCAGGACTAAGAAGGATTTTAACAGGCACAATGGCATCTAAATTTGACTTCACAGACGGGATGGCTTCCACGTCTGTCCCCAGGACACTTCTCTCAGGGAAGCTGGCATACAGAAAAGGTAAGTAGCTTGCTCAAGGTCACATCGTGAAGAAGTCAGAGATAGGGCTAGACTTGAAGTCACATATGCGGTGTGTTCAGGTGGAGCAGGCAGGCAGGCCCACACTGTCCCCTCTCAGTTCAGTTCCTTGCTCGAGCCTCTGGGAATCAGGTGTGAACCCAGGATAGGCTGGGACCAGACTTGTCCTTGGCCTTTTCTCTCCTGGAGCAACTAGAACAGGGAAGGCCCAGCCCTGGATAAGGATTGGCCCAGGACTTTGGGGTCCCATTTATAATCTAAAAAAAAAAAAAAAAAGGAGAAAAGACAAGGAAGGGAGAGAAGGGATTGGCCTTAGGGTCCCTCCACGGACCCCGGGGGATGCTGTGCTGTGCCCAGCCAGTATCACAGTGTGCGATGAAAATGGGCGAAGTCAGCATCAGATAACTCAGAGATCATCTACACAACCACCTCGTTTCACAGATCGGGAGACTGCGGCTCAGGGCAGCTCGCTGATTCTTACCCCTTCTTTCCTGGCAGTTCTTCCCACACAGGTTTGGGGGTGAGGGAGGTGGAGCATTTCCTTCCTTACAGGTCCCTAGAGTAAGGCCAGTGACATAGTGGGGCTGGAGAGCTGGGAATTCTGAAAAGGTGGAGAGAAATAGGAATGCCCAGCTTAGCAGGTACATTCATCATAACAATAATTAGGGAGGTGGGAGGCTTTAAGCAAGCTAATTATGTAGGCTAGATCTAAGCCTCGAAAAACCTCCCTCTTAGCATCTCTACCCAGGGGCCCTAAAGATGGAAAGGAAACTGAGGCGTTCAGGAGTACCACGCAGGCAGCCCTGCAGGTGGGTACTATGTACCAAGTGCCTGCTAGGGAAGGGAAGAGCACCCATGGAAGTCAAGTTACAGGTTCTAAGGCTTCTGGGACCCCTTAGTCAAGAGCACCCATGCTGACCAGTGGACACTCAGAGTCCCCAACCATAAGGAGGACAGGGCAAGAAGTGCCTTTCCAGGATTCAGCCTTGTGGGTCTCAGCCCACAAGGTGTTGTAAAAATGGTCTTAAGCTGCCCTGGCTGGTGTAGCTCAGTGGATTGAGCACGGGCCTGCAAACCAGACAATTGAGGTTCGATTCCCAGTCAGGGCACATGCCTGGGTTGCAGACCAGTTCCCTGCAGGCAAGCTCCCAGCAGGGGACGCACAAAAGGCAACCATACATTGATGTTTCTCTCCCTCTCTCCTTCCCTTCCCCTCTAAAGGTAAATAAATAAAATATTTTTAAAAAATGGTCTTAAGCTTAGGATTCAAAGGTCAAAGCATACAGTACACAAAAGAAATATCTGCTCAGAAACCCCAATAATTATAAACAATGATGGGGGTCAAAGGTGAAAGGTTGGGCTGCTAGAAACGCACCCCCTTAGCATCCTGTGGAGCCCTCGAAAGGACTGCTCCACACCTCGCTCATCAAAGGACACTCCCTACACCTCGCTCATCAGTTTAATCAGGAAACGAACATTAAATAGCTATAGTACATCTGAAAAAATGCTGGAGATACCCAGGTAAAGAGGGTGTGGTCCTTGTCTTCAAGAAGTTCCCAGTCTCTCAGCTGGACTCCACTTGAAAACCAACATCCTAGTTTGGCCAAGACAGTCTCGGTCCGTGCCTGTTGATCCAGTCATTTGTAATTGTTTTTGTTGTTTTTTTCATATATTTTATTGATTATGCCATTGCAGTTGTCCCATTTCCCCCTTCATTCCCTTCCACCCTGCACACCCCCTCCCACCCACACTCCCCACCTTTAGTTCATGTCCATGTGCCACAAGTTCTTTAGCTTCTATATTTCCCACACTACTCTTGCCCTCCCCCTGTCTATTTTCTCCCCACCATCTATGCTACTTATTCTCTGTACCTTCTCTACCCACCCCCCACTCCCCTTGGCTAACCTTCCATGTGATCTCCATTTCTATAGCTCCGCTCCTGTTTCAGGTGTCTGCTTTGTTTGCTTTTGTTTTAGGTGTGGATGTTAATAACTGTGAGTTTGCTGTCCTTTCACTGTTCATGTTTCTTATCTTCTTTTTCTTAGATAAGTCCCTTTAACATTTCATATAATAAGGGCTTGGTGATGATGAACTCCTTGAATTTGACCTTATCTGGGAAGCACTTTATCGGCCCTTCCATTCTAAATAAAACCTTTGTTGGATAGAGTGATCTTGGATGTAGCTCCTTGCATTTCATGACTTGGAATATTTCTTTCCAGTCCCTTCTTGCCTGTAAGGTCTCTTTTGAGAAATCAGCTAACAGTCTGATGGGAACTCCTTTGTAGGTGACTGTCCCCTTAGCTCTTGCTGCTTCTAGAATTCTCTCCTCCATTTTAATCTTGGCTAATATAATTATGATGTGCCTTGGTGTGTTCCTCCTTGGGTTCACCTTCTTTGGGACTCTCTGAGCTTCCTGGATTTCCTGGAAGTCTATTTCCTTTGCCAGATTGGGGAAGTTCTCCTTTATTATTAGTTCAAATAAGTTTTTTTTTTAAAGATTTTATTTATTTCTTTAGAGGGGAAGGGAAGGAGAGAGGGAGAGAAACATCAATGTATGGTTGCCTTTCGTGCGTCCCCTGCTGGGAACTGGCCTGCAGGGGACCGGCCTGCAACCCAGACATGTGCTCTGACTGGGAATCGAACTGCGATCGTGTGGTTTGCAGGCCTGCACTCAATCCACTGAGCTACACCACCCAGGGCCAGTTCAA